TGATAACGAGTATGGGGCCCAAACCTATGGACTGATTCTCGTGATCCTGAGGGGAAGTGCAGTGACCAGTTTGTCCACCCGTGAATGGCACGCACTCTCTGTAAAATAAGTACCCGCTGAGTCTCCCTACTTGATGCAGCAAACTTTGTATACAGGAATGTTTATGCTTCATTGTTCTGAAGACGGAGCAGATTTCTTCGGTCTTCTGGGTTTCGAAGAGGATTTCTTCTTGGGTTTTTGAGATTTTTCTTCCGACCTGAAAAATCCGCAGATAATATAAACCGGTCTAAAAGGAAAAATTGAAAACTCTGATAAGCAAACGATTTGCAACTTGTACAACTGGTAGGTCACTGCCGCGTGCGGTTGCAAAGCGGTGCGTGCAGGGGCGAGGCTGGACACTACAGACCATGAAAGCGAACAGGGAAACATTGAAAAAAATCTCACATTGTCGATGTTATCTGCCTCAGAATGGGGCATCAGTACAGTGAAGTCGAGGCGGAAGAGCGGTCCATGAGTTTTTGGCGCGGCGCCAATTCTTTTTTCGTCGATCGTTGCTGCTTCGAGCGTTTAACGAGTAAATGAGCTAGCTCCGCTTCAAAATCCACTCACGCGCCCCAACTCACTTCAGAGATAACGACAGTAGATCCAGGTGCGGCGGTTGCGAGCAGAATCATGTGCGCGACATTCGCACCAAGACCTAGATAAGTTTAAAGCGGGGAGTTGCATGGAATTTTGGTGTTTTAGCTGGAAATACTTGCTAGTTTGAGGGCATCGCCGCAACTTGAATCTCCTAAGACACTTCAGACTTAGAAAGCACGAGATCTGAGACGAGGCCAGTAGCCGCGTCGCGTAGGCGCGCGGCGGTGATCCATGCACGAAAAGCTGTATGGAGCGATATCCTGAATGAAAATAATACCCCGGCCGTGGTGCTACATTTTCATCACGTGGAGTTTTTGGCACTTGTGACGATGGTCGTTTCTTCCGTGGTCGTGGTTTTTCACCAGATTCCTTAAGAAGTTTTTGTTCCTTTACAGACAGGCTATCGTACTTCGCTACTTACCGACATTGACCGTCTGGCTGGCTGAGCTGACGAAACATTCATCTGTCGGGCTTTCTGCGTACCCCAGAGTGAGATGCAGAGGTTTGAGTTCAGAAGATAATCTGCCAACTGGAAAATGGACAACATAAATAACGCACAATATAAAAATAAACATGAATAGGGTGCAAAGTTAGTTGGGAGGGGAGGTCAATGCAGGAGACATGGCCACGTTCATGTCCTGCTTGTCTGCATCAGGTCCGTGTCACCGGAACCCATAGGACACTATCTCGCTGAGAGGACGCAGGCGTGTGGAGAGTGGGCGTGGCCTAGACTGACTGCCTACTGGTCCTCAATTGTCTTAGTACCAGAAGAAGACAAAAAAAACAGAAAGAAAAATAATTGAAATAATGGGTGGCGCACTTCGGTTTGTTTATAATGTTATTCATTTATGGGGTGGTAATAATTAGAAAATAAAAACATAAATTTAGTGATTTTTAGAGGTATTTTGATATATGCTATTTGTTTTGTTTGCTAGACTTGTACGGGGCACCTTGTGAAAGCTGTGGAATGCTCTTAATAAGGGGCTCCTGCACCACTCGCAGCTTCACAGAAGTTCTCGTCCTGCTGCGTGAATCCCTGTTATTTGACATAAAATGCAAAAAACAGCAAAAGCTGAATATGCCCCCTACAAGCCGAACAGCGCTTAATGAGTTACTCTTTCAGAGAGTGGCCCAGATCGTTACTTCCGCTGACGGCTCTGTTTGAGCCTGATGACAAGGGGCGCCTTAAATATCCAGCAGCGAACCGCCAGACAAACTGCCTGTCAGTGGCATTCTGCTCACTTGTCAGCGCTGCATTCTATGTTGCCGTCACTGGCAATCTGTGAACATCACATGTACAACATCATCGTGAAACTGCGTGTCTAGTTAGAGAGGCAACGCATGTTGCGTCGACGCAATGTTGCAAGAGGTAACACGTGCGCGACATTCACACCAATGTCTAATAAATTCTAATAATAGATTCCATGCAAGTGCTGCAGTTTGTGAAGTCATTTAGCACACGCAGTTTTCTGCTGGAGTTCCCGCACTACACCCGCTGCTCTGCCATTTTTGAAACTTTCTCATCTGTCTCGTTGAGAGGACGCAGACTAGTGGAGAATGAGCGTGGCATAACAAAATCCGCACTCTCCTCTGATGATACTGCTTTGTAACTGAAAACCTGCTCGTGCGCGTAGGATGGACTGCTTCCCGGGAGACATTTGCGTGTTGATATCTTTACCGTTGAAAAAGCTGTACTTGCAGGAACTCTGAAATTATTGTCAGACTCCATTAATAAGTCAATAAGTCCTGACAAATATCGAAGCTGACCAGAAATCCAGAAAACTTACTTCCACCAATGGAAAAATCCACGCGAAAAAATGTTGCCCAATGAAGCTGAAAGAACAAGTGAAGCCCCGATCTTTGAGACCTCTCCACGCTCATTGTATCGTAGGTCGGGCTACAAGTAGACGCTCTTCACTTGACTTTCGCCTTTCATCATAATCGCAGAAGGAAGGAGTACACCAGTGGAGAACACACAACGAGAGGCCCGGCTCCGCCCATCCGAACGGCCGGAATCTGCTTCACACAAGAAGCAGACTCGCTTTTTGTATGCGAGTAGATCAAGTTCCATTCAAAAGGAAGCACTGTCTAAAGTGCATTGAAATACAGTCTTTTCCGCTGCGTGCTGAGGCGTTTCAGGGAGCTGAGTTTGGCGCGGTGCCAAGCGATTCTTGTAGAGAGGCTACTAGCTAGTTGGTAAACAACGGCGGGGGGGAGAATGGGGGGGGGGGGGGGGGGGGGGGGGGGGGGGGGGGGGGGGGGGGGGGGGGGGGGGGGGGGGGGGGGGGGGGGGGGGGGGGGGGGGGGGGGGGGGGCGGGGGTCGGGGCGGTTGGTGCCGCGCCCTGCACCCTCTCTACCTCACCTCATCTCATGGAAAGCCCAGAATCCGCAACGAGCAAGACTGTAAATGCTTTTAGGAAATGGCTTTAATTATTTATATAGAGTAGTTTAAGAAATCAGGCGCAGTTCGGCGACGGAGGCGCGAAGGGGGCGACATTTTGCACTTTCGCCTGCCTTCCTTAGTATTCGTTTACAATGTCACTCCCGGTGAAAACCGGTGTCAACTCCGGTGAAACCTTGTGACTCTTTGTAAACAGTGAGCGAGCTAGTCGCAGCCAACATGGAAAACCTGTCAACTCTACAAGCTCTTAATAGGTGGACACGTTGATGAGAAGTACAAAAGCTGCAAAATGCCATGCCACCCCCCCCCCCTCCCGTCGCCGCACGTCCCACAAATTATTCTATTAAACAGTCTCTGAGAGCTCACCTTTTCTATACGACGTGGTAATCCTCTAGCTGACTGAATTTTCACCATGAACCCGTAGCTCTTCCCGATCTGAAACGTTAATTCGGTTCATTCGTGACTTTTTCTATTTTACTATTATAGTGCTGGACAATGTAGTGGCGTCAGTTACTACGCTTACGGCCCGCATTGAGGCCAGTTGGAGGAACGTACCAATAAGGAATACATGAAGGCTGTCAATCTCCGCTTATGCGATTATTTTGAATGTGTTACGTAGCGATATACGGCCTGAGCCGTATTTTCTGGTGCCCGGGAATGTATAATGTAATAGCCTCTGTCTTGGGGTTTGGTCAACCAAGTCTTCCATACCTCCGCGAAACCGACTAACCAGCTACGCAGTATTCGTGATTGGGTGAAAATTGGTAGTGAAGATTCCAGTCGTCTCAACAGTCATGGGCTGGCTTCCACAAATCATTGTCTAAGATAAATCGCAATCAATTGTCCCTTCATTGCGAACGGAAGTAAAACGCCATGGCCAACGCCAGAAAGAAACTTCAATCAATATTGAATGCTCATACCTACACTTTGAATCGTCCTTAACTCACTATTATTCGCTGCTGTGCAAAATCCAGTAGTACATCACTGATAAGCTGTCTTTGGTCTCCCAGTGTACTGGTCTTCTTGCTATTCTAGTTTTTTTATTGAAAAATTTACTTCCTTGCCGGCTATCAGTCTCCCCACATTGGCGTCGCTATTAATATCTTCGTTGAATTGACGAGATCAACAGTGATTGATTTTACTGATCATATGAAAGAAATGAACAGATGAGAAGTGATCAGAAATAGTAGAAATTCGATAATCTCTAAGGGCATAATTTCTTTCGATTTACTGACGCTTATTATCCTCTCAAACATGATTCGCACGAGGTGATCAACCCGTGAATTAGGGGTTTCCTTTCGTTTGGGCGGGACTCCACTTGTGGAGAGCAGTCGTTGCCTAACATGCCACTCTTTCTCATTTTATCGGTACGTTTTCTATTTGTTTTTGATCACTTTGTACATTAATTTTGCTTACCTGCTACTGGTTGATTGACAAAAGTTATTACAAAGTTCTTAATTTGGAGCATCCAGTCATATGGTTAGTGTCCGTAGCAGATCATCGATTGAGCAATCCTCTTTGCTCTGTTTTCTAACTTCTTTTCTCCATCCCATTTGCCTTGAGATATACTCCTTATCCCTGAGAGGCGGGTAGGCGTGGCTGTTTGAGCATGGCACAGGACAAGTTTCTCAGGGAATACTTTAGTCCGAAACAGCTGCTATCTTGTTCTGCGTTAGATGTAGACGTGATTACGACTGCTCCAAAATTGCAATAATATCTCACAAAAACCTAGACCGCGGCTATTTCAAAATCAAGTACGCAGTCACGCCTACCCGATATCAGGGATTTCGAGTATAGCTTTCGTTCCCTTTTCTGTCCTACATACCGTACTACTTTTGCAAGGTGCACATATCATTTATAGTGCTTTAACACTTCTTTTCAGTCCTTGAAAGGTTTTGGTCCTCGGGTTGAATTCTATCGCCTTATCAGGGAGGTGCGGTTATAAGTGTTTCTTTTTACCAAGTAATCCTACTAATTGAAGTGTATACAGACAGCAGACGATCACTTCGAGGGCAAGCGATGACCTCTGAGCAGAACCAACTCCGTTTCCCGTTCCAAGGAGTCAGTAATCAGTGGTGAGTTCATACTTCTTCATACATCAATGATTTTTTTTCAAAGGGTCGTAGTATGAAAGGTGAAACGAACAAAAAAGTATAATTGCAGCTGATATCGCTAGTCTGAAGAGGCGGTGTCAGGAGGCGTGAAATGAGTCCGCCCCGCTGGGAGTTCTACCAATGGTGTCCGCGTTCAAGTAGAAAACAAACATTGCTGGAAAACACGGCGGGCGGAATCATTCACGCCCCCTGACACCGCCCCATCGAATTGGAATTATGTCAACTGTAACTAACTTAGTTGGTCCGTACCCCTATGTTTGACTCTTTTCGTGTGTTCCTGTGTTATAGCAATAGCTAAATATAAACATAAATAACCATAAGGACCGTCACCATGATGACCATAAAACCGTAGGACATAAGGACGAAACTCAGGCGTGAAACCTCAGCACCAGATTAGATTCATACTGATCAGGGTGACTTACGATTTCCTTGGGATCATCAACATATTCACCGATCAGCTCTTTCCCTGATGAGTTGCATGGCGATAGCAACACAGAAAGTTCGCCTAGTTCGTTTCCTGAAAAAAATTATCTAGTCGGATTCTCTTGAACGCTTTTGATTTTGCTCAAGTCTTTTTTGCACGACTTGAGCAAAATTAAAAAAATGGAGACCTCTCGAAAGGTCTGATTTACTGTCGGCTTCGGGCGTGATTCGAACTCTCCTAGCCACATGTTTATCCATTACGCTATTGAAACATCAGGATAGCTTTGCGCAACGGACCTTGGAGCTTTTACCATAGCTTGTCCACGTCCACTAACAAGGTACTTTGCACGAGGGGATCACCAGTGGGGGTCGTATTCAGCCGCTGGGGTGCTGATCTTTCCTTTTCATGCGCACTGTGTGCATCGTACATCTCCTAGTGGGCGATGCCTGAAATCTACTAGGTACCGTCTTGCTCGCTACGGTTGAAGGGGTGTGTCAGTAAGGTTGGGTTTGGCGCGGCGCCAGGCCATTCCCTATCTACTGGCGAAGCGAGCAAGTAACAGCAATTGGTGAAGAACGGGCTGGCGCTGCGCCATACCTATCCTCCT